TGGGTTTTCCTTAGCGACGGTAATGTCCAGTTGAGAAAGGTACATGTCAACAATTATAAGTATCAAGAGGAACTGGAATTTTTCATCGAGCAATTGAACAAAACTGCCTTAAAGGAGATCCATGCAAGAGATGCTATTAAATGCGAAAATCTTTCCCATGACTCGCCGAAAGCGGAGGAAGCGGCGAATGATATGATTCAAATTGATGTAAGGTACTCACAATCAAGTGCTCTACAGAAGCTTTATGACATCATCGTTACTCCTATTGCTGATCTGATCGAAGGAAACGAGCTTACAGTTGTTCCTGAGGGACCATTTTGTCTTGTGCCTTATGCAGCATTGGAGGACTCGAAGTCAACTTATCTGAGTGATTTATTCAGAATTCGCGTGCTTCCGTCCCTGACGACCTTACAACTAATCAATGATTGCCCAGCTGAATTTCACCTGAAGAGCGGTGCATTGCTTGTTGACGACCCATGTTTCGAAGAGATCATCTATCAAGGAAGACGGTTGGTGCAACTTCCGGGAGCAAGGAAAGAGGCGGAGATGATTGGACGAATCTTCAGTATTTCCCCCCTTATTGGAGAAATGGCAACAAAAGATGAAGTGTTGAAACGACTTTCATCAGTGGCTTTAGTACACATAGCAGCACATGGTAAAATGGAAACTGGTGAAGTTATCTTGGCACCAAACACCACAAGAGAAACCCCTCAGCCTCAAGAGAAGGACTATCTACTGACGATGAAAGATGTCATGGAAGCTGGGCTGCGGGCGCGACTGGTTGTTCTAAGCTGTTGTCACAGTGCCCGTGGGGAGGTCATGGCCGAGGGTGTGGTTGGCATCGCCCGAGCATTCTTGGGTGCTGGCGCTAGATCTGTTGTGGTAACCTTGTGGGCGATTGCAGACGAGGGAACCCTGGAGTTCATGAGTTTCTTCTACGATGCACTTGCTAAAGGCAAGAAGGCAAGTGAAGCTCTCAATCAGGCCATGAAGTGTTTGAGAGAATCCGAAACCTTCAAGGAGGTGAAGTACTGGGCACCATTTGTACTCATTGGTGATGACGTCACACTTGATTTCAACGACATTTAGTTGTTGATCCATGTAATTATTCTTTTAATAACATTTATGCATTACAAAGTAACTTTAAATCCAAATTATAGATACATATTTGATCATAAATGCTTTTTTTGTTATCTTGCTGTGTAGAGTTTAGGAGTTTCTTTTTCTCTCGAGGAAATTGAGATGCTTTAAAATTGGGTGAACACGGACTTTTTCTTATATAATTTGATAAGAGTAAAATACAAATTTCTGCTGTAATAATTGTTGGGCAGTTTATCGTTTCATGTCGCAAGGCTGAATGAAAAATTTTATATGATCTCAACGATTCTCCCTGAATTATGACTTTTTTACTTTTCAGTTAAGGCAGTGAGAATTGGAGCTGTATCATAGAAAAGACGAAACCCAAGAAAGTAAAAAGTTGCCCGCAAGCGTTGATATTTGGAGCAGAAACCACAAGGCTACAAAATCTCTGTAAGAGTCCTCCACTGAGAGCAGGAGAAGCGAAAGAGCCTTCAAGAGCGCATACGGATCTCTGTTTTTTTAAAAGTTGATTCTCCACTTGTCTTGAATGCTCTCATGAGCTATAAGGATTTTGGACGTGCAGAAGAAAAACGACTTTGCAGTGTTTTGATTTTTAATGAATTATTTGAACTAGCTTAAAAGTAATTATTTTAATTAGTGATGTCTTGAAATCAGCCTCACATTTTTTTATCTAACATGAACGAGGTTGTTAGCTATAAAAAAGTTTTTGGTGTTAAATTTACATTCAAGTTGAAACATCTTGAAAACTTTTTCCCAAATGTTTTTACAATTCTTTTTCTTATTCGGTTTTTGCCTTAAGGTTTATATAAAGTATTGCAGCCATATGCATGTGTAAAGATTTCCATAAAACTTGAAAAATAATTGGTCGTTTGATTGTTCGATTATCTTAGTTTCAGTCGAATGAAAATTTTAATTAACTTTTGGAGGAATTTTTCCTAGTTATAATTAGTTCTTGTATCACGAACATCAGATTTTCTCAATCGGTTTTGCCTTAAGGTGTATATAAAGCTTTTACAACCATATGCATTTGTAAAGATTTCCATAGAACCTGAAGAATAATCAGTCGTTTGATTGTTTGATTATCTTAGTTACAGTCGAATGGAAATTTTGATTAACTTTTGGAGGAATTTTAATACTTAGTTATAATAAATTTGAAACTCTTGTTTTGTGTTTTGAATGTAAATTTCGTCGAAAAATTAAAGGGAGGGAAACGCGCCATTTAATTAACTCAGTTTTAGGTGTTTTAAGATCCCTGAAAAATACCGTTAGTCCAGAAGCTTGTAATACTGTTAACATGTCGGGTTAACGAGTTTGGATGGAATTCGATGGCAGTGATTGGTGCAATTTTTGGATCAGTTTCACTCTATGGTCAGCTGCCGCACGGCCCTCCTGCTGTTGTGTTTTTTGCTTCTGGCTTCTGAGACTCAATTCCCTTGTCCCTGTTAATGTTGTTAAGGTGAAGTCTGACGTGAATTGCCTCTTTTACCCTGCGTGTGTAGAAATGGGCATCACGATCAATTAACTTTAGTCTTTACAGAGCAGGCGTGTTCGGTTTTAAGGTTGTGCTTTGAAACGGCAAAGGTCAGCGTCTTAGGGAGTAGGATATCCCTGTCGTGTTCCTTGATTCTCTCCTGCATAGGTCTACCTGTTTGGCCGTTGTAAACCTTTGCGCACTCACAGGGAATCCTGTAGACTACGCCATCCTGTTTAGCAGCGTCAACGTTATCCTTCGGGCGTACTAGGTGTTATCGTAGCTGGCTTGGAAACAGTTGTTGTTAACAGAGGCGAAGTTGTTCAGAGAGGTCTTTGACGTAGGGCAGGTCTGCGGTGGATCTGAACTCGGTGGGGGGTTCAGTAATGGCGGTTTGTGTCGTAGTTTTTGTTACTCTGCATGGAAGAGGAAGAAAAACCATCAGTAACAAGAACAGATGACAGATGTTTCTTCTCGTTGGAGATGGAGGATTTTGTTTCGCACGCTTGTAAAGGCGCATGTAAAGACACTTGGCAATACCGTGCGCTTTATTGATTGCTCCAAACTCTCCTTACTTGTAGTAGGTAACACCGAACTACATCTACGACACCCACCACAGTAGTCTTCTCTTACTACACCTATTGCACGAAACTACACGAAACTACATCAACCTGCACGTATTACACCAAACTTCACAAAACTTCACCTACTACCCTAAACTAAATCTACTACACCGAAGTCCACCAAACAATATCTACTACACCAGACTACATCTACTACACTAAACTACATCTACTACACCAAACTACACGCACTACACCAAACTAAACCTTCTACACATACTACACCAAACCACTTACAACAACTAATACCCAACTACACCTACTAAATCAAACTGCATGCTCTACACCAAACTACTTTATAAAATAATTCAAATAGTACGCGCGCTCTGATTGGCCATAAAACCATTTTACACGAGCGTATATAAACACGGTTTTCGTTCCTCTTTCATTAGTTATTTTATAAAAGAAATGTAAAATGGTTTCCGTGTTTACATAGCCTGATGTAAACACTTGGTACAACCTCCCGCGTGTTTACATCAGGCTATGTAAACAAGGAAACCATTTTACATTTCTTCAACAAAGTACACCTACAATACCAAACTAAACCTACAACACAAAACTGCACCTACCTAACCTGCTACACCTAACTTCCTCTAATACTACAAATTACTCCTACCACACCTACTACACGAATCTCTCGATTCTATTAAGGAATAAGTGTTAATTTTTTTTAAGATGGTGTGGAACCCTGTTCTATATTCGTGACGGAAATCATGAATGTATTACCGAAAATTGGAAATAGGAATAATAGTCTTTTTCAACGATAAATATTTAACCGATTTATAGGCTCATCTCAAAAAGAACACCTCAGATCTCTCAAGGAATTTTATCCTAAATCCTTTTAGCGAGGCAAAACACCGATAGTCGTGAAAAAGATTTTTATAAGCAAAGGTTGAAGATACTACGCACTGTTGTTGAATGTACCTTTAACCAGCGAAACCTGAAATAGACCAAACAGTAAAATTGTCCATCACAACAACAACAAAACAAAAAATATTTCAGTGTTTAAGGCTCCAGGTTTTTTTGGTTTGATTTGCTAGTAACCTGTATTGGTTAGGGTTGATTCGAGTGAAGGGTAAAATTGTCCGAAATTAATACTGACAAGTTTATCCTCATTTATTAAAATCAACCCTCAGACCCATTTACCTGAGCGTAAATGGGTCTGAGAAAACGTTTGAAATTCTTTGAAATCCACTTTTGCGAATGCAAAATAATTGCGTGGTGGCAAATACAAGCTTTCGATTTTCGTGGAATTTAAGTTCCTCGTTTCTTCTTGTTGGACCACAGTGTATGTCGCGGGGTCGGTGGCAAGTAGCCATCTTATTTTCCAACTATTCTCGCAGAGACAAATACATATTTTCTAGTCTATGAATTCTCGCAAGGAAACGCTCGAACGAAGAGAAGTCTAATTTTACGTTAGCCATTACGCGCAATAACCGCTGATTCATGGCACACAACTCACTCTCAAGCACCTCAGGCACCTCGTTCTCAAGTACCTCAAGCAAGACGCGTAGCTGTTTTTGGGTGAAGATGTCGTTATACTTTCGCCAATTTCGCCTGCCCACTATTTGCTTGCCTCAACTGATCGGCAGCTTGCCATACGCTGTATAAGAAAAAGTCCCTGTTATTGGCAGCAACTTGATTTTACTCTACGTTCCGAGGCTCCCTGTTTTTAAAGTTTCTCAAGACGATTGTTATTTGCCATAAGTTTTGATTGGAGAAGGAGGATCTCACGTAATGGATAGTTATCGGTGTGACAAACAAACAAGAGACACATTGATAAGTTCGATCGAAAATATCTTTTATTAAGTGCAATTGAACATCTGAAAAGAAGAAAAAAAACTTTCTATAAGTTACCACAACCTAAAGCTACGGTTAGCTTTCAATAATCAATGCAGTTTTTGTTACGAACATTATTATTATTTCATTCGTATTTCACTCATTCATCAGTCGTCGCTCGTTCAATTTTGAAATCACGCGTGTGATTTCACAACAAACTGCACTCAGTCAGTTGATTTTCATTAAAAATTTTCCTTGCCAGTGCAATAGGAAACTTATAGAGAACGATGTGGAAAATATACAAACTGACTCAGTTAGGGTGTGAGAGGTGAAACACTTGAGCTACTCATTGGAAAACAGGTCGGTTTATGTACGATATAAGACTATTTTTGCATCCATACAGAACCAGTGAAGATGCATTTGTTTCAATAAAATTGCTTTTCACTTACATTGATAAGTTCACATCTTTTTTGAGAGTGGTAATTAATTTGAAGGAGCGTCATCCTAGAACATGATAAACAGACAAATTCGAAAAACGTATTGATTTAATAACGAGATAAACAAATGAGTTATTGGATGGGTTGATGAACTTTGAGTGTGTGAAATAACTCAAAAGCAAATATTCCAACCACAGCTCGAACGTTGTAGTTCTTTGTGAACTTTGGTACGCATGTTGTATGGTATTTCTGTAGAACGTGGCGTATGTTTGTTTCGGTTCGTTTGTATTTGTTGCATATTGTCTTATGGTGAATAGTAGACTTGTCATTGTTAGTTTTTTTGTTTTTAGGTGTTCGTCGGTGGGCAGAGCGTGTAAGCCAGGGAAAAGAGTAGGTGGCCACTTTCGCAACCGAAAAATACAATGCTTATTTAGAGCTTTGCTATAGACACATTTTTTGGAACTGGCGATCGCGACTTTAAATTGGCAATAGCCACTTTAAACTGGATATTTACCACTTCTACTTCAAAGTGGTGATCGGCAGTTCAAAGTTGCACAAGGTTTGTTGCCAAGGAAACTTGCCCTACTTTCTCAACCAATCAAATAAAATACTTAAAGTTATTGCATGTTACTTGATCATCGTTGTTTTTCCGCGCTTCTGACCCGTAAAATTTATCACTTTACTTTTGGTTCTCATTTGTTTTCGTTTGATATTTTCATTGGTGCTTATTACCTTATCTATTTTTCTTTTGAAGCTTTGTCGAAAAGTTTTTTTTTGTAACACTTGTGGCGTCAAGTTGAGTCAAGTTGAGCAGAGAAACAATTATTAAGGCTAATTATCGTTTCCAAAGAGGTAAAAAAAAGGGGCCCGGCTTTGAATATATTTTTGTTTTATCTTTTAATAAGAGAATTTTACACTTACCGCAATGATGATATTTGCATCGTCTGACAGTAAAGATGAAAATCCAGAGATGTAGTTAATCTACAAAGAAGTAGAGAAGATGCAATTTTCAGGAAGCACTGTCTGCCATGAAACCCTTACAGTCAAATGGACTGACTTTGGATCTATTGACACTGATATCAGCATACCTCATTCTCTGCTGTCGTATTTACCGCGGATGGACCACATGCAATTGCGAGAGGTTCTGAAGACTGAAGACAGCTGAAGAACGGATGGTATTGAAAATTGTCAACGCCAAGCCTCACATCCGGGCATTTTTGGAGAAGCTGCTTATACAGAAATAAAAGATTTGTTTCGTTAAAATTGAAATACCTGACTTAAAAAATGAAGTGCACTATTTCCTCTACAGTGTTTGCCAAAAATATTAATTTAGAAATACTTTAAAAAGAGTTGTTTAAACTTGTTGTGCAAATTACATTGGGTCCTTCTAGTTCATCGCAAAAGTTTGTGATCCGCAAACCTCAATGATCTAATTTTTTATTTTGATTTCAGTTAATTTTGGTTCGTTCATAACGTTTATTTTAAATTTTGTTGAGTACACACCTCAGGGTGTCAGTTACAGCTTGAAAAATTTGAAAATATTGATCTGTAAATTTCTTGTAGTTCCTCTTGAACCGGAATCTTGGTGATTTTTGCGTCAAATTTACCGAAGCAATTCTATGATTCCTCGCGCCACGTGTGCATGTTAAATGCCAATGTTTTTAATCAAACTTAATTTTGCAGTGGGGCAGAAGGAGATCAATTGTCAGAGGTTATGTATGATAGTTTTGAGAAAATCGGTATCATTTAAAACAAAAGAGGACATCCTCACTTGTCTTAGAAGAAAGTTATTTACTTAAATCGAATAACTTTGGATTTCGTTGGCTGACCTTGAAAAGGCAATCTCTGGTCTCTCTCCCAAGCCAATTGGGGATATCAGGCGTTGTGTATACGATGTTTTCGAAAAGTTGTCTCTTGTCTTTACCATAAAATGGTAGCTGATAAGCAGAAAAATGAAAATATTTAATTTATCACTCAACGTCTTTCTAAACTATTGAAATGGGCTGATGATTTATATCAGAGTGGAAGTTTAATTGTCTTCCAAATCTCTCGGTGGTAAAATATTTCCAAACTCTTTGATTGTCCCTTTGATGGAATCTGTTCTGTGACCTTTAGGATATCTGAAGACTAAAACAGATCCCCTTTTCGGGTGGAGTCTCCCCTTACCATGTTTGCCATAGGCGGGTGTCCTATTCCCACGGGACGAAAGGTAATGGCAATTAATGATTACTTCATTGTCAAAAGTTTGATTCATAAGCATTTGTGTCCTTCCGAAGGGCGAGTTATTGTGTACAAATGTAAACATATTTGCAATGTGTGAGTTGTTGCAATATTATTTGTACAAACCTTGCCGGTCAGCATCAGGAATAAAGTCACGCCAAAGGACCACCAGTCCACAGAGTAAGTATAAGACTCTCCCATGATCATCTGTAACAGATTAAGTGGAGGTTATTGGCATTGCAAAAAGTGTATTAACAAATTCAACTGCGTGAGCTTGGTTGAAACATCAGTGTATTAACAAGGGCGCGGTCAGGATCGTGTAGTAGGGGGGTCTTTCTACTTTATTTGTTGTCCGAAACTGAGGGCGGAGAGGCATAAAAAATGTTTTTTATCGTAATTTTTCAGATTCTCATGACAAGCAGAGAGGTTACCCACCCCTTTATTGTCGAGAAAATTGTTGGGTCTCGTTTGACAATGCCTTGATTTAAGATTGACCATAGCGGAAGATTATAGGAATACATTTTACCCTCAGAGAAGGAGGAGAAGAAAGAAGAACTTTCTTAAAAACCTATAGAGAAGATAAATAATTAGTGAGAAAAAAACAGTAGCGATTTGAACAAAGACTTTTCAGGGTAATCTGCTACAAGCCTTATACCTCAGGCGCCATATATGGATAAGTTCCACATACTCCAGTGACTGCAAAGCCGACAAATTCGCTCAGACCGAAGTCTGACAGCTTCAGGTGGCCATTTGAGGTTACCAGAATATTTTCCGGTTTTAGATCTCTGATGAAATAAGTTGGCAAAAACTTCTTTCACTCATTTTTAGTGTACATTACACATCAGGGCAAAACAGATTTGCATCAATTTTTTTCTGTTACAATGGAAAATCTTCTACCCGTTCTTTCTCGATTCCAATCCCATACCGCTCATGTCAATTGTGGCTCCTCGATTTCAAAAAACAAGTTTTTTTTTCTTTTTCTCGACCGCTAGTGGTGCATTATGTTTCAGCCAATTTGCATCAAGAAAGCTGGTTAGACAGGGAAGGTAAGTTAGTCGACATTGGAATTAAGCCGGAATGAACGAGAAAATTTTTTTGTATCCTTGTAGCAATCGGAAAGAAATGGGTGCATACTGGCTGCGTTATTTTTCAAACATTTCTCTTTATCATTCCCATAATCCCTCTAGTTCCTGTTATTCTTGTCGTCAGTGTTATTGTTATCGTTGTTGTTGTCATTTTCTCTGTCGTTACTGTTATGGTTATCAATATCGTCTGTGTTGTTTTATAAAGGGTTCCAAAACACCGGGGAAAAAACAAATCTTTCTTCAGAATGAGACATTCCAGAGTACGTTATGCCACAAACATACCTGTGGATGACGTTTTTCGAATTCAAATATTTCAATCCCAGGCCGATATCGACGGCGTAAAACCTGAAATACCAGACGTTGTCGTATGAATACTTTTAATTGACTTTCTAAGTTGTAACCTGGGTCTTAGTCAGAAGAAAATAAGCAACTGCAAGTCTGCAAACTTAAAACTGAATGCGTTGACAGCGGCATAGAAAAAGCCTATATGTTGGTAAAGATTTAATTAGCATGAATGACGATTAGGATAACAATTTTAAACACTTCCGGGATGCTCAGCTGTTTTCCTTCACAAGGCGTTGAAACTTCTTTTCATTTAAATCGTACCTGGCGCGTTCCTCACTCAGTTTTCCTCCCTGGGCTCGCAGAACTCCAGCAAAGTCCCCACCGGGCAAATACTCAAGCGCTAAGGCTGTTTTTGTGAGCTGAAACAAAAACATTCTGTTTAGTTTATTGACATCAGCATCACGGCTGTGTTGATTAATGCTTTGTTTCTTTTTTCAACAAACTGGCGTTAATTACTTAATGAATCGTTCATTAAAATTCATTTAATCCCTCCCTAAGGCTTTCTGACTCTTCCTCATTGGAATTTCATTGACAATCAAATTCCTCAAGCTCCTCCCTTATGCTCTGTTAACGACGACTAATCCCTCTTCCCTTCCCCCTTAAAATCAAGTAGACCCCCCCCCCCAAATCCTTTGGACCCCAAGATTGGATCGTAGACAATAACTAACTATTCGTTAATAAAAAAAAAAAAACTGACTGAGATAGTGGCAGGCTCAACTTGCGTTCAGTTTAAAACAATGAATTCCTCAGCACGCTTATTGTTGCCTCCTGAAGGCATGATCACTCTACTGCTACGATGTGCAAAGTTCCATGGCCACGCTAGTAAAAGATTCCTAAATATGGACGTGTTTTATCTGTTCCTGTAGCCAACCTTTCTGTATGTATTCAAAAGCCGTTTCTTAGGTACATACTTTGATGGTAAACGCCCGGCATAACTGGGTAACCCTGGAACTCCCGGCCAAGTGGAGGAGGATGAATGTTTCTTTCAACACCATCGATTTGTTTGCTTCATTCTCCTTAAAGGTTTTTACTGCGTAATATCCATGGGTTTTTCGGCAATAAAATTGCGCTACCTGAAGTAGGAATAGAATAGCCAAGCATTAAAGAATCTGCTTAACAGTACTTTGAGCAATTTGTAGTGACATTAATTGACGCAACCTTTAGTTTTGGTTTTCCCCAGTCTTATAAACGCCGAACGACTCCGCGTTGCAGCTCTAATTTAAGTCTTTAATTTTCCTAAATCCCCTGATGGGTGGGCAACCACGAAACAGGCCTGTAAGGATGAACTTTTAGTTTATTTGTCTTCTTCCTCCCACAATATATATATATATATATATATATATATATATATATATATATATATATATATATATATGTATATGTATAGGAAGTCTGCAAGTCGATTTTCGCGTGGAACAGTGCTCAATACGTTGAAGCAGAGCAGAATAAATATTATGAGAGGGAAAATGAGGGACGCAACTACATTTCCAAGCCTGTTTCGTGCGTCCCTTTTTCCCTCTCATAATATATATATATATATATATATATATATATATATATATATATATAATATATATATATATATATATATATATATAACGTAAATATATTTTGGTAGGATATTATATATATATATATATATATATTTGCATCGGGAACTATCCATCCATCAGCTTCTCAACAAAGCATATCGCCAATATATATATTCCCCAAGTTTCTTAACTTCAAATAGGTCCTGGAAATCAACGTTGTCCAAGTCTTCCACTCTTCATGCATATATATTGCCCGCTATGGTAGGATAATACATCTATATACTGCACAGAAATATTCAAAACAAGACACAGAAATTTTCGCATTTTTCTACCGAACTTAGCAAACACATCTGGACACTGGAACGAAAATTACTATTGATTTCATTGGTGCAAGAAAAATTCTTGCAAGGAATTTGATAATTTACCGACACAGAACCTGGCTATATATATAATGAGTATTTGCGCAACAGCTGAACTTTAAAGTTTTTAAGTTTACCGCGTATTATGCGAACGCACATGCTTTTCATTAAACCCCTGACGCAACGAAACAGGCTTGTGGAAATTCATGTCCTTTTTTCCTCTCATAATATATATATATATATATATATATATATATTATATAATGCTAAACCCTTAAGAGTGAAGCCTTTAATCCCTTTTTTTCTGATAAATATATATATATATATATATATATATATATATATATATATATATATATATAATATATATTTATATTTATATTACTTATATAACAAATGTCCTTCCCCAAGTTTCTTAACTTCAAATAGGTCCTGGAAATCAACGTTGTCCAAATCTTCCACTCTTCGCATTTTGGTAGGATAATCGGACATCTCCTGACTTTTCCTTTTTCTACGGATCTTTGCACAGAGCAAAATGGAAAAATGTAATTGATTTCATTGGTGCATTGCATGAATGGTGATACGGGTGGCTTAAGCTCTGCATTCATGGCTAAACCCTTAGCCTTTAATACTGATAAATTTATCAAATGTTACAGAAACACAGCCAATCAGATGGCTAGAAAGGTGCTTAATTATTTTATATAGTCTGAGAAAATGAGACAAAAATAAAGAGTACACGGAAGTGTCCGCGTCAGCTGGCAATGCCAACTTCAAATCTCGTTAGATTATATCACACGTGAGCCGCACGTGATTACGAAATAAGAAATTAAGGGGGGAGGAGAAGATTGAAGTTTGAAATATTGAATTTAAAACTAATTGTAGCATTGTATAATATAGTCACTTGCTTTGCATAAGCATTATTATGAAAAGTTGTCTGAATTACTATATTCTGACTACACTCAGACGAGTTATTCAATTAATGTGAAAAGTTTATTTAGGATGAGTCAGCCAGTCTTGTAGTATAAGCATCCTAAAATGATCTTAACATTTGTACACTGAAAACCAAGGGTTCTACAAAAAGAACCTGTGCCACGCCAGATACGACAAACAGCAGCACAATACCCCGAGGAAAGGGTAAACTAACCTGGTTACGCTGCTAATCAGAAAGAAAAGTTAATGAATGTCGTAATATTTTACAGGGCTTTGAAAAAAGAAAAGCATATTAATACAAAAGGAAAAAAAAGAAAGTGGTCAAACATAATACTGACCGACCAACAATGACTTCATTTTCCCATGAAACGCTTAAATAATCCGAAACTTCCATGATGCCACGCGAACCTCTTCAACGTGCCATCAGAATATTAATTTCTGATGGCACGTTCCCATGTCACTCAAACGTCATAAATTACATTTTTTCACGCTTTTCATTTATAAGTAATCAAATGATTGCTTGTTCAATTTGGAATAAACGAGCACTCGTTATTTTTCCAAAGACAAAAAATTCACCCCCTTGCGGTCAATTTTTTTTGGTCTTTGGGATGTTTAAAAATGCAGAAGTTGAACACGGACTACGATGAAATAAGTAAAATTTAGATCACTAAGGCTAAAAATTATTACCCTTCGTCTAGTTCTGTACTCTCTCCAAGCTTTCGGTATTAGTTTGGTTGCTTTGAGCTGTCAGGAGAAAAGAAGTAATTATATACTGATAAAGTTTAATTGTGTAGATAAACCAGTATGATCTCAATACTGTATTGTTTTTTTCACGTTTGTTATTTATTAGTAACAAAATCAATCATTTTTTTCTTCTTCAATCTGGAATAAATAAGCACTTGTAATTTTTTTAAAGACAAAAAATTCACTCCCTTTACGGTCAATATTTTTTGGTCTTTGGGATGTTTAAAAATGTAAAAGTTGAAAACGGACTACAGATTAAATAAGTAAACTTTAGATCACTGAGGCTAAAAATTATTACCCTTCGTCCAGTTTGGTATTCTCTCCAAGCTTGCTGTGTTAATTTGGTTGCTTTGATCTGTTAGGAGAAAAGCAGTACTTATATAATGATAAAGCTTAATTGTGTAGATAATCCAGGATGATCTCAATTTACGTTTGTCATTTTTTAGTAATAAAATCATTTAATTTTTTTCTTGTCCATTCTGGAATAAATAAGCACTAGTAATTTTTTCAAAGACAAAAAATTCTCTCCCCTTACAGTCAATTTTTTGTGTCTTTGTGATTAAAAATGTAGAAGTTGAACACGGACTACAGATAAAATATGAAAAATACAGAATACTATGGCTAAAAATTATTACCTTCCTCGTTCTTCGATGCTTTCTCCAAGCTCTCTGTATTAATTTGACGGCCTCAATCTGTCAGGAGAAAAGCATTATTTATATACTGATAAGTAATTATATACTGATGATAATTGTGAATCCATTTCCCTGATAAGGCCATGGAGTCGAAAGGGAACAAATAATGTCTTTTATAAGGAATTTCATCTTGTTGGATCGGATTACAGCTAAAATCGCCGAGAAAGTCTTAAAAATAATGA